CAGTAAAATAAGGATATATAAGACCATCATCAGGAGTATCCTCTGCTATGCAAGTGAGCTCTGGACACTGACAAAGAAAACAGAAATGATGCTGGGCGCACTTGAAAGGAAAATTTTGAGAAGAATCTTTGGATAAGTACAGGAAAACTCAAAGTGGAGGATACGCTACGATCATGAGCTATATAGACTATATAAAAGTAATGATATAGTAACTCACATTAAACTGAGAAGGTTGGAATGGGCTGGATATGTCTACAGGATGGAAGAGTATAGGATACCCAAAAAAATATTGGAAGGAACAATATATGGGAGAAGGCCAGTGGGAAGACCTAAAGGTAGATGGCTGGATGCAGTGACGACTGACTCCAGAAATCTCCTTGGAACAGCATCTTGGAGAAGGATAGCGTTGGATAGAGATAATTGGAGGAAGAAGATAGAGGAGGCTAGGGCTCGATTTTGGGCTGTTACGCCATAGTAGTAGTAGTAGTAGTAGTAGTAGTAGTAGTGATTGCAGAGCTGAAATCGGTTTCCCCCTTTGGCACAAAAAAATGGGACTAGAATATGGTGAAACGGAATGTCTAATAACCCCTTTGTTTAATACGTCATCTTCGGGGACGAAAACATATACAGGGGTACGGGGGACTTAACAGGCGTGGGGTCAGTCGACTCAAGAAGAGTGGTAAAACCTACCTAGCAGTAAGCATCTGAGAAAAGCCAGATTCAAATGAATTTCGTGGTCGTGAAGTTCAGATGTCAACCAAATCTAAATCACCAAAAAATGTGGCATGGCGGCGTTCGGTAAAAAGGGGAAATTTATTTCCACCAACAAATGTGAAATAAATGATGCGGGTCCTCAAATCCTTTAATAACCCCGTTTTGACCAGAAAATCGCTAACCAAAATAAACGGACAAGTGAGGTTATCAGAAAATAAGAAAGGGGAAAAATACAAGTATATTTGTCCAACTGGAGTTTGCAGTTGTCTTGGCCAAGTACAAAGGCCGAGACGTAGCCGTGTAGCATTTAACCGGAGTTACTGTAAAGGAAGGGATCTTCCCAAGATTACGTAATTCACGTTAAAGGGTAAATGGAGTACTTGAGCAAGAACGTCCCGATTGTAGGAGAGCAAAAACATGGTCAGCAACGTGAAGACAAACCCGTGGTACAGCCGGCGAAGGAACCGCATAAACTTGAGAACGCTTAAAAAAATGTGGGCTTTCTAGACCGTGGCCTTTCTAGTTGTCATGTCCGGGTCACGGGCTGTTTTTGAATATTAGAACGAGAAGCATGAATAAGGATTTCCACGAGAAGTTTAAAACGTTGCAAGACCGACTCAAACGTATCTCCCGATATTCCGGTTCTACGGGGAAAAATCCTCTCAATAGGTTTGGGCAACTTAGTACACAAATACGCGTGTATCGTCATGGCGTATGTTTACCGACTCTGAAAATTTTACCTAAGCCGCGGTAGAATCAGAGGTGACATGGCCAATAGAACGGGGCTCCTGAGTGGGATCCTGTGAAGGCTTAAATGGGGCTATGAAACGCCTCTATAGACGACACTGATTGGGAAATATCCTCAGACAATTCGTCAACGGAGGAAAAATTGGATTGGTCTAGGCCAGGTAACGAGTCCTTTAAGTCAAATGGCTTAGGCGCGTCATAATCCTCGCATATTGATTAGGCCTGATGTTGTCTGCCCAAACGTCTGTTACAACTTACTGAATCCCATTCAATTTATTATGCAAGATTTACAACTCACCCAGAGTTTCGATAGATTCCAAGGTAGAGACGTGAATCTCCCAGCCGCTTAAATCACGTAAATATTCTTGAAGGTCGAGGGCCTACAACTGTTGTGTGTAAACTCCCTTACGCATCGTTATGTCATATACCAGGTCTGCCTACCTCACATAATCCTGGTTCGGTAGGGCTCGTTCTATCATAACAATGAAAAATTGCAAACACGCATTAAGATCAATTTCACAGAAATGAGTTTCAAATAGAAAAAAAGATAAACAAGTACAATAACAGAATACCTTAAAGTTAGATTGGATCATAAGACCATGCTCTCTGCTACTAGTTGAAAAACACAGGCCCGCAGTCACTTTTAAGATGCGTATTTATTAACAAACTCTAAATTAAATATATATAAAGATACAGACAGGTAACACAAAAAAGAACGATTGCACACCAAGCAGCCCCAAGAAACTGTCGATTCTCTGCCCCTTTAAAAAAAACAGAATAAACGGTCCAAAATGGGACAGACGTTACACATCCGAGAACCGAACAGCGAATAACCCCAGCCGTTCCCCACACAACACAGCAAAGCCTGAGAAGACCAGGGCGCACTCTGACGGCAAAAAGTGAGGTTAAGAACAGGCTGACACAAAGGAAGGTAGGGAAGTACAGAATGACACCAAGGAACCGTTGTAAGGGATAGAATATCTTATTAAATTAACAAACGCACACTCTTAAATTGAGTAGATTTATGAGCGCTGTGGGGAACAAGTAAATCAAGCCAGATAAACACGATCGGGTTAAATAAAGAAAGGGAAACGGATTTGCTACCAAGAATGTTATACATATGTGATGAATCTGCAAATAAATGCTCTGTACAAATCACTGCAAGCCCTGACATGTGGTGACCTTGAGCATTTTAGACTGGTATCATTGCGATCGTGCGTCCTGCCTGACTCATAAATGTTTGCCAGTGTGTGTTATGCTATAGGATACTAACAGTTATCTTGCGAAGGATTCGTCCTTTTTGTCTGAACGACGATTTAGGATATCTCTGCATTAGAGGAATCAAGGCTTCTATCGGGAAAAAGAGTATGAAGAATTGTTTTAATTGCCAAGTCCATCTAGGAATTCTGGATTGTAAATCTGTGGTCTCAGAATAAACGAAAAAATAGAGGCGATATGTACTTCGACATTTTGGTAACTATTTACACAACATACATTGTCAGAACCCAGAAGATCTGGATCAGATTGGTTATTACATTCTGCTGGTTTGCTGGTCTCTAATTGACTAAGTAGTTTAGTTGCTTGATTGGTGGGTCGGACACAGAAGCAGTAAGTAATGAAGTGGAATGTCTTTATCAGCTAAATATTTATATTAACTACTCCAGTACAGTCTTGTAAAATGGGGTTACTTATTTAGACTCATTTATTAAGTAATATTATCTGAAACAAAAACGTCAGAACTTATCTATTTATTGAATGTAACTAAGATGCTTATCAAATCAAACACTTGTAGTGTTAGTTAACAAGTTGAGCTGAATTCTTCCGTAAAATTTCACTTTCATTTGAGAAGCAAATACCTAAAACAGACCAGCATAAAAATCTGTATTAAGATTTGCATTCGTTATGAACACTCACTGGATGAGAAAGCTCTAGAAATAATAGAACCGTTAGCGAAATCTTTAACTGTTTGAAGCAGCGACAGTTTAACCCAGTTCACTTTAATTGGCAAGCTGGAGTTACTGTATGTAAATTTACTCTGTAAAACTCATAAAAGTGTAGTTTGTTTTCAAAATAGCTTTATTAGCTGATTTACATGATTATATTTGACCTTCTGTTTCGATGATTTTCGATGATCGAATCTCTTTATCAGTGGTTACTGAACATGAAATCTAATTTCAGTATGAGTTTAAAAAAATAGATGCAAATTGAAGGCAATAATTGAGTTCATAAACACACCAGAAACGATGAAGTATTTAGCAGAAAACTGTATTCTTATGCTGTTACTGTGGTTGGTTTGACGCCAGGAACAATCTAACTGTTGAAACATTTTCACAGTTTTTATTTAGTTAGAATACCAGGTTATACATCTGTGGTTATAGTCATGATTATGGTGTCAGAGGGTCTCTGATTGGCTTCAGTTTTCACAAACGGCCAACTAATGCTTTAAATTTATTGGGCCTAAAAGAAAATGAAGCACTAGATTCATTGCTGCAGGATGAAGGAAAATGGGACAAAATTTAGACACATGTTACAGCGAAACGTCTAGAGAAGTAGAGTCGACTGTTAAGACTCTACGTGATTTTATAAGATGAAATAGGGTCAACTAAAAATGTAAGTGACTTACCACATGGTCCATAATGACAAGAAATTCTCCGTCCTTTATTTAACACGAATGATTTTTACTCTGTTCAAAACAACCTAACACTGGACCACCTCCTGAGACGGCTGAATCCAATTCACACTGCGATATTTTACTTCTTTGAGAAATAGCTGCACGTTCAAAATAACATTTAGTTGTTCTCAGTTTATTCTTTTGAAGTGATATGAATTCCTTCTTTGCTTAATTTATGAGGTAGGTTAGACAACGGTTTGTGTAATAAAGTGCAGAAAAGGCTATTTTCACATAAAGAGTGAAATTAATAGTACAATGTATGTAATTATGAGCCTCAATATTTGTCTTATTAAATGGTTATTCTGAAGACGAAAAATGAAAAAGCAACATAAGGACGGGACATATAGCACAGAAACAAATACAGACCTGAACCCATTATTTTGTTCGGAATCTAAAAATAATGAATGCAGCAACAAAGTTTGTAGCATAATAAAAGAGTGACCTTGTTGAGCAGCTACAGAAACGTATTTTTTTTTTGAAATACCCAGCTCTTTGTAGTTAGCTGGTGTCAGTTATATATATGTTCTATATTTAAATAAACTCGATGCGAGAAAGACGCAGTGAGGTACTTTAGAGTGTAAGTGATTTAGTGACAGAAATATACTTCGTTCATATTATGTAGCGCTCCCTAAGCTCCACGATACAAGCGGTGGAGCTTACAAGGCCGTGTCTGATGCACGATAGTCAATTTGTGTTGCTTTAGTCGCTCTGCGTTTTTAATCTACGGTTTGAATTTACGCGTGTGAATTTATATGCGTTTTAATCGAAATTTTACACTACTATGAAGAAAGAAGGCAGTGAAATACAATCCTGGGAATCATAGCTTATAGATTAAAATTCGTGGTCACACAGAGTTAGAAAAGTAAGTGGTGGATAGGCAGTAGGAATATCATACAAAAATATGGTTTATGTTGTGTAAATCTGAAAAGTCTTGACTGTGATTTATTTCGGATATAAGGAGATTATTGGAAATGTAATCGCACTTATGTTACTACTCGATAGTTTCATGTTATTTTGACATTATTATCCTTTAATATTAATTTTTTAAGCCAAAGAAAATGTGAAGGAGAGTTGAAAATATAGCAGACGAATAGAAGCACGGGAAAATATGAGGGAGAAGTGAGGGACATAATATTTCTGGGAGGAGAAAGATAATTTTATTGTTAGAAGTTTCCCAGGCATTGCCCGCTCGTATTAAGGACAGAGTAAGATGAATACGTCAGGGTGATATGTAGTAAAAATTTGTGACAGATACAGCAGAGTTTTGATTTTGTAACAAATATTGTTATTATAATTTAGAAAGTTAAGTAATTTTGTGATTTCCGCAGTCGTGTGGTCTTCTTGATTAACTTAATTCGGGAGGGCTTCATAAGAAACGTAAATTATCAAATTGTTAAGCATTTCGGATTTTGCGTAGTGACGGAGAAAAATCAATGGAACCTGTGTCGAAGTGGCCATTCGCAAAACCTTCAGGACACATACTGAATCCAGGAAACCAAAGAACGTGGTAGTCACCTAATTTTTCCTAACATGTATGCAGTAGTCTATGTTATAAATCTCAGTAGATCTTGATACGCCAGTCTGCAGATTATAGCTTTACATACCTTGTATAACATGGATGAGAAAAGAACAAGATCTATTAGTTGTTTCAGTAAATGAAGTGGACTAACACTTGGTGTAACGGCGTATTATTCGTCCATCTATAGATTAACATTTAAATAAATTGATATTGTGTTTATTATTTGAAAAATTCTTCATTTTCCTTCGCAGTTGTCAGCAAAAAATTTGGACACTCATCTGAACCAGCGTAGGGGTAGCAATAATTGTTATTTAAGGATTCGATTCTCTGTGTAACCCTCGATGATTAGCCGCCTAAAATGAGGAGCATTCTTCTGAAGCAGGACTTCAGTTTCTTTGCGTGTTTGTGATCACTTCACGATACAACATATTAACCCATCGAAAGGGCGCAAAGTATTATATATGTTTATCAAAAATGGGATCGCATTGTATTGTACTGGGCTGATTTCCTGAGTCGGAAATTATCTCTGAACACACTTGTAAAATAAAATATTCTTCCTAACTTACTGAAATGACTTTTGGTCGACACCATGTCAGGTTGCTGATGTAAAATTTCGATTAGCAATACACTTAAACATTATTAATAATTCTTAGCACCTTATTCTATGAGACTTATACTTTATTGAAGTGTGTTTCAATGTGGTATTAAAAATTCAGTTTCTAAAGCAAAGAAAACAAAACAGTCATTTCACTGCTTGATCAATCTTCACTCACTCTATGTACAACCTATGCAGCTGAAAAAAAACCCAAGACTCAATGAATTCATGGATCTGTCAGCGAGTTACTTAGTTTTATCATTGTATTGACAAACCTTTAGTTGTCATGCTGTGCGCGCTTGTGGGCAAAAACTATTGGCGTATGAATGCTGATCTAGTAAAAATTAATTACCAATTTTTATCTTTGATAGCAGTAACTACGATCGATATAAAAACCAGACAACACAGGCGTTGCATGTATCAGTATCCATGCGGCAGTAGTACTTTGGAAATACTGTGCTATGTTTACACTCATTTTAACCGTTTTTCATTTGTTGAAGGTAATTAAACGAAGCGAAAATCTATTACTATTAAATATATGTTGTTTTCTAATTTTTCATGCTCGTGACGAAGCGGTATTTTTTTACATTACAAATACTCGGATATTTTGAGAGGATCCTTAAATTTCAGTGATGCCCAGTGTCTCTTGGACAGTGGAAATTATCGATAGCATTCATGGGGATTGTTAACTAAAACGAGTTCAATTCATTTACACAATGTAATAACTGCGACTTCTGTGAAATAACATTTCACCTGCTCACTTAATTTAAACAAACTGGGGTTAATTAAAAATACTTTTTTTATTTGCATGACTTTATTGATGTTTGGTTTACTTGACAACACGTTTTCCAGTGCGTAGGTAATGCAGCGTTGAATGATAGAATGTATTCAGGGTATGGAGAGAATTGTTCGCGGCCATACTAACTGTACTGTTCCGATGTTTCCTGGGAGGTGCTGAGGAAATTTTGTACAATTTCAGCATCCAGATTTCAACACAGTAACTCTTGAATACGACATAGTAGTGTTCACCACTACCAAACAATGGATTTTGCAGGTGCATAGTTTTGTGAGTGAGACTTATG